TGACAGTATCTTCTTCGTAATCTTTCGAAGTCAATTGGAGTAATTGTGTTTCCTCAGTAGAATCCGTTTCATCAAAACCGATGTTAATTCTATTAGCATAAAGTTTGATCGTCTTTGGAGCATGTTCTGTGACGATAAATGTTAACATATAACGTTAGCATATAATGTTAGCATATAATGTTAACATATAAACGTAATGCAATTTTAAAAAATTAAATAATAACAAACCAATATCCTTCGCGACAAGTTTTATCGAGTGAAGTTTTACAGCTTGATTAAAAGGAACAGATATCAAGAGTTGTTCATCAACATCCGATTCAATATATGATTCACCTTTGGTGAAAATACTTTTAGCTGAATGATTTTCTTTTAAGTTAAGACAGTCAACTTGATTAAGCGTGATAAATTCATTTATATCCGTCTTTTATAAAAAAAATATATATTAGAAACAAAATATTAAAAGTATATAAAAGTAAATTATTTATTCATAATTTTATCATACATACATGCCCCTGAACATTCAGTGAACTCGAGCCGCTTTCTTCAGGTGACCCCGCATGCTGAGCGACGAGTCTTCTGAGTTCATTAGCGTTAGCGCCTACTAATTGTGCAACTTCCTGACCATTCTTGAAAAACTTGAATGTCGGCCTAAATTATAATGAAATAACCCAGTCACTTATCAGAATCTTTATATAAATAATCAATGAATTTTTTTTTTCTTAATAAATTAATTATTTTTTACATTGATGTGACTCGAGCTGTCTCAGAGACATCTTGTACTTGATCAACATCGACCTAATATAATATGTTCAATGAACCATTATACAAAATTGTTCATTTAATAATTTTGAAAAATCATGAGATCTACCTTTGCAAAGTTAGCATGTCTATATTTTGAACTTAATTCATTAAAAACAGGCGCGATCATATGGCATGGTTGACACCATGTTGCGTGAAAATCCACCACAGTCTAGAAAAAAAAAAAAAAAAATTGAACATGTTTGAAAAAAGAACAGTAATAATATATGAATAATTTAATTTAACCAAAATAAAATACATACTAATTTTTTTGAAGCAATAAGTTCCCGATACTCGGCCAAGTTGTTAATGGTTTTGATATAAGACATTGTAAAAAAAAAATACTATCCGATTACCATACAATAGTCATTTATATATTTTTTTTTTCGGAAATAGCTCTAAATCACCTATTGGTGCTTTTGCTACTTTTTCAGCTTCATGAGGGCGTAAGGGTCTCTATATTTGTAACATGTTTAAAATGTATATCA